GTTCAACCATCAGATCCAAAGATGAGATCTAAAATCTTTCTTACACGCACTTCCCTCTGGGCTGATCTTCTTCATGCACAACAACTACATCTCCAAGAGATATAGTTCTGATAGCTTCATTCTGATTAAGGTAACGATGGGCATTTCGCAGCTTGATCAGCTACTCGTTACTCCTTCTTCTTCTTCGCACCACCATGCATGACTCGTTTATGGCTGTCTTTGACAATTAATGATGTGATGTGGTGGTCTTTCTCCAACAAAATGGGGTGCTTGACTGAAGTTAGTAACTCCGCCTTAGCTAAGCGTCCAGTACATCTCATAATGCTCTAATGATTGGTGAAGATGCAAAACTGCTTCTTCCAAATATCGAGCTTAGGATTCTTGCTGAAGGACTTCTGTATTTCCTTAATCCAAAGGGTTTCTCCGACTGCAATATCTTGATCCGTCAACCTGTCTGGTAAAAGGGTGTCCTTTTTCAGCAATAACTTCATGATTCTTCCAAACTTAAGAACAAAGACTGTAACTCTTATAAATCTCTGCAGTTTGCCATAGTCTTCTGCTCTCATGATCCGTTCTACACCGCAGGGTTCAACTGCTGCAAGCATTACGGATGAGGTTTCTCTTTGGCAGTTTGCCCTTTCCTCAGCTCTGATTTCTGCAAAACATTCTCCAGGTAAATGTGTGCTGTCCAATACGCTCTCAGTGTTTTCCCTAAAATCAGTTAACCACTTGAGACTCTCCATCCACAAGGCACACTTTGAGAGTTCTACAGGTTTCAATCCTCTCGAGGGAATATCGGCTGGGTTATCCTTTCCGTTACAGTTTCGTCAACTACCCGATGTTACAAGGCTCCTGATCTCGTGGACTCGATGTTGGACAAATTGCTTCCACTACTTTTGTTCGGCCTTGATCCAAAGTAATGTTACTTTGGAATCAGTCTAGCAAGTAATGTCTTTATTTGCCAATCCAGTTGCAAGGCCTCCTTAACATGCTCAATCAGTCTAGCTAGTACTAGAGCGGCAAGAAGCTCTAATCTTGGAGTGGATAATTCTTACGCAAGGGGCAACTCTGGAATTGGATGCAACAAACTTGACTAAGCTTCCTTTGGTGATAGTCACGCGCAGGTAGATCACTGCTGCATAGGCCTTACTGGGTGCATCCCCGAATCCATGTTGGCTACAAATGACAACTCTCTCTTGAACTCCTTGGAAGTAGCATCTTGATAGCGAAATTGTCGTCACACCTTATAACCAATCCAACATTTTGCGCAACATCTTCAACAATTCATCATTTAAGGGATTATCCCAACCAATTTCATTCGGCAAACTTCTTGGAAGAACAACTTAAACTCTATAATAATTGGTGACAAAGATCCAAAAGGGTCGTAGAACTTTGCAGCAATACTAACAACGTTTCTCTTGGTGGGTTTAAGGTCTCTTGCATAGTTCGCTATCTCAGCCAAATCAAATATCAGTATGTCCTTCATGGGGTTCCAGTGTACTCCAAGGACCCTTGAGTCTGAGCTGGTTTTCTTTTCTATTGTGCCAGGCATGCTCTTTACTTAAGTTTTGTCTTCAGAAACAACATTCCTTTCTGGACAGGCTCGAGGGGACTGTACATTCTTGGGCTCAGCCACCTTTCTGAATGTACCGGCATCAGAGTTTCTGGAATCATTACATTGAATTCTGCTTTTTAGTTCAGGGAAATTTAATACAAACTTCCTCCTCAGGTTGAATCCTCCTTCAGCAAGCCTGAGTTTGGACTTCAGATAAAGTTCATAGCCTGTATTAGTCTCAGGGGCTCCAGAACCTAGGTCATCCACATAAATCGAGCGAAGAAATTTCTCTACGAGTTCAGGATCTGCTTCTTTGTACCTTTCAATGTGTTGCTTGATCGTGGCATTTAACAAGAAAGGACTAGATTAGACTCCGAAGACAACATGTGTAAACCTTAGAACCACAATTTCTGGAGAAGGTTTGTCGATGGCATCCACCCATGGGAATCTTAACACGTCTCTATCTTCCTCTACCATGCCCACCATCAGAAATGCAGAAGCATCAAAAACGACTCTATGCTTAGTTGTTAACTTGTCCCTTCTTATGACTGCATGATGCAGTATGTAGTGGACCTGACCAACGCCTCCTTCGCTAGGCTTTTCTACATCTTCAATTATGCCTCTATGTAGCTGTTCCTTTATGAAAGAGTCATATTCTCTAGGGACTTCAGGCTCGTGGTGGAGACGTTCAGGAAGGTTCTCTAAACGTTTCCTGCTCAACTGGTATGTAGCATTTTCCAAGGAAGATGGACTTCATATCTCTCATTCGTAAAGGATATCTGCTCTTGGAATTCTTCATACAGCGTCCTTGGTTTAACGCCAAGTGATTCTAGTTCCCAGAATGTTTTAGAGTTCCATCAAGGGTCTCATTTGTGACATCAACAGGTTTAACTGCACTCTTCAGTAGATGTGTTGTGACAACATTACTTTGCTGCCTATTAACTTGTGTTCCCTCTGGGACTGGACCTAACAAAACCCATCCAAGTTTTGTCTCAATTGCAATGGGGCCATGCCCCCCTCGTACCACCCTGCCAGACACTAGACTCCAATACTGGTCTGACCCAACAAGAATATCAATGTCAATATTGTCCTCACCCATAAGGCTTCCTACATGAGACTCTAAAATGTCACATATTCCCTTTCTTGCATCTTGATTAGTCACAGGGCTAACATTGAGGAAAGTTTCCATGTGGCGATTGATGATTTGTTGCTTGTTTCCAAATCTCTTCCTAAGGATCGCAATTACTTCTTCATAATTTGATGCAGTGAGAGACAGGCCAGAAATGGTATCAAGAGCTGGTTTCATAAGGAGTGAGTTCAAATGATTGAACTTGTCAACAGGAGCCAACGAAGGATTCTTATGAATAGAGGACTCGAAAGCATCCCAGAGGGTGGGCCACGAACTAGCTTCTCCATCAAATTTTCTCAAGTCCAGTTAAGGTAATTTAAATCGAGGAACTGTTTCTTAAGTAGGTAAGCTTAAACAAGATTATTTGAGGTTTCAACATTTCCAACAGCTACAGGAAGGCTTACCAGAGATTCAATAGAGTCATTTGACGATAAGAAGTCACTAGTAACAACCTTAGAAGGGCTTACCGGTGTCTCGTTTTTTGATGCGTCCATGCCGTTTGCGGGGGTCCTCAAGGTTTCAAGAAAATTATCAATTCTAGCGATGGTAAGCTGAATTAATTCATTTACGAGATCTGCTTCCCGAATTTCGTCTTCAATTTACTCTTCTTCCACGATTGACAAGATTTCTTCGTCTACAACTTTTAGGGTTTCCAACTTGACGTGCAAGGACTGCTTTTGCTGGTAAAACTTTGACACGAGGAGGGCAAACGCTTGTTTGTTCTCGTCCAAGTTAACGTTGCTTTAGGAGGCATCCAGTTGTTCAATGGCAATACGTTTGACGGTTGTTCTGTGCCCTTCACGCCAGTTTTTTCCTTGAAATGGATTTCACTTTGGGTAACATCACATGCACCTTTAAAATAATCAACTCATGGACAAATGAGGAATCCACACCAGGTGCTCGTAGACAAGAATTGTCCGGTCCAAGGATTAACACGACAAGAATTAGGACCGACAAATAATCTGGTTCGGAGTGACCATATAAGAGAGGGTGACGCCTTTTAAGGGGTTTATCGCTGGTTCTTTATGGAGTCTAAGAACCTGCATAGGTTAATATTAACCACACAAAGAATGATTTTAATTTTAAAGCGAACAAAACGACAAAGCTAAGTCACATGATCGCAAACGTTGTTTCGCGTGATCCGATGTCACCCTGTACAAGTCCGTAACACAAATTAGACAGGTCAATTTTCCCAGCCTTGAATATGATGTATACGAAAAAATGACTGATATAGCACAAAGACATAAAGGTACCTTGCGTTGAAGATGAAAAGTTAGATGGTGAAAGTTCAATCTAGGATTTCCGCATTGTAACTATGTGAATTACCCCGCTGGCATTAAGAGCTTCTGCTCGTGACATTCAACTTTAGCTGAATTTCGTTCCAGTGGGATGGAAAGAATAGAGACTTTGGGAATGTCACCAGAGAGAGGGTGGAGGCATTTTGCATAGGGAATGGTAAGTGGAATCTGGAAGGGAAAATGAAAAAAAAAAAAGAAATAAGTTCTATCAATCTTCGCAAATTGTGAGTAATGCAAGAAAAGATTAAATTTTTTTCTTTTCTTCTTAAGGACACTTCATTCCATGTTGTTTGAAATAAAATTTTAATGAGTCAAATAAATATTAAGTCACCTTTATATCTTTTTAATACGAGTAATGAATGTGCAGTAGTAGCATTTTTTAGATTCTCTACCATTAAAATTGTTACATCAGTATCTAGCACACCATTAGGTTTTCCTTTCATTGGATTGTTACGTAAATATCTCGTGCACTTTCAGAATTTTCTTCCGTTCGATTTCCAGGTATCTATCTCGTGCACTTGGATTGTTACGTCATTATCATACACATATTTAGAATTCTCTTTCATTTTGATTGTTACGTATTTATCTCGCTCACCTTTAAGGTTCTCTTTCATTCGATTGTTTCGTTAATATCTCATGAATTTTCAGGCTTCTATTTCATTGGATTTTTACGTTAGTATCTCCTGTACTTTAAGGATTATTTAATTGGATTGTTGCGTTCAAACCTCGTGCACTTAGAGGATTTTCTTTCATTCGATTGTTACGTTCGCATCTGGCGCACGTTTACTGACTCGATCGCAACATTGAGTCTTACAGCTAATAACATCACTGACCAATCAGTTTATACAAACCGGACTAAGAACATTCGACTGACAACAACTATTGACTTGACTCGACTTCCGCTCAGGTTGTCGAAACGTCAGTCACCACTACCAACAACAGTCCTTCTCAGGAATACACTCACCCGAACGATCAAACTACACTATTACATTAGTCCTTCTCTCACTTAAGCATTTTAAACATACACAAAAGATGGAATCATTAAAACGATGGGGAAATCTCTTATTGTGGAATTTCACGACAACTTCGAAGAAACTATACTCGGCTACGCGTGATCTCATTTATGATCAAGTCGAACGGCAGGAAAGGTGCGCAGTGGCGTTTACAAAAACAACTTTAAAATGAAGTCGGCTATTTTTCTACATGAAAGTATGAAATATAAGCTAGTTTTTAAACTGCTGGTTACGTCGATAAAATTATTGAAGTAACGACACGAAAACGACGACAAAGAAGCGTTGCAATGGGGGTGGGGGTGGGTGATGGGGCACAACCAGCAGATCGTCATGCGGTGGCAGCTAAGATCCCTACAATCTTTAAGAGACCAAGTTAAAGATAAGAATACTGTTGGTTCAAAGTGTTGTTCAAAAGAGGTTCATTTAAACTAGACACTAAAGAATGTTATTCCTGTTATGAGGCTATTCATTAAAAGTGTCAATGTCACCAAATATGCCATGATCTACCCACCGAACCCTCGACCACAAATTCATTAAACACTCGATTTGCTAAGTCTTTACAATTATCTTCCATCCAATGGTATGCTTTCTTTAGCTTGTCCTTGCGATAAAGAAACTTGATCAAATCTTGCATAGATCCTTTGCTACCACCATGTTTTATTTCGACCACTGGAGTGTTTCTGAGGATTCCCTCTTCGTATTCTCTGACCATGATACAACTTTTGTTCCTTTGAAGGAGAATTTTGTCACAGTGTTTCTCGATGGACCAATACCAATGCTTCGAACGTATCACGACAAACTGATGGTTTAAAATAAACTGGGTAAGTTGCCCTTTCTTCAGAGGTCTTTTATAAAGCCAAATTTTTTGAAGTTCCTCAAACTCGTCAATCCCATTAAATTCGCTCAATTCCTCTATTAGGGAACCCTGCGTCAGATAAAAGGATGTCGATATTCCAGGCTCGAAGACAAGTTCCCCTTTCCATCCTCCACCTTTAATTCTCTTGCGAGAACTGCTTTTTCGAGACATTTTCAAAGGCCTGGGGATAAAACTCGAGAATTATAAGATGTTTAAATGCGTTGGTTGGAATTCAACATTTGTGCCGCTACTCGCACATACACTAATTTGATAACTTTAACTGATTTCTTAAGATGTGCAAGGGCATTTCTAAATGGTCGCCGTTTTGAATCGTGCCCACATCCACGCTAAAAACTTTTCGGAGATAAACAAATTTGTGCTTTCTCAAGGGAATCACTAACCCGTCAGTCCAAATTTAGACATTAATAATCATTCAGACGCCAAATTTAATTAGCTAAACTAAGTCTGCTGATTTCTTTATTGTGGCAAAATATTCGTTGGAGTTGATATGGATTTCAACACGAATTAAGAGCTTAACAGTCTTCCTAGGGCTTCCTTAAATCTTCAAAAGGAAGATTTTGCGCGCAGGTGATATCGTACACGAGAGGAATCCATTTGTGAAGCGAATCACCATGCACACATCTCATGTTTGCCTCATTGAGGGTCTCATGGGTGATGGCTTTTACGGCTAACGATTAAATTTTGGCTATTCCCCAGGAATTTTCTTAACGGTTAACATTTTTCATGACTATCGATTAAAAGTTGGCAATTTTACGCCTGGCGGATATATTTTTTGGCCGTTTTACGGCGATCAATTACCCTCATCAATAACCACTTTACTAGCAGTACATACCGAGTGGTAACAGGAGCATAGTGAATTCTTGGAAATTTTGCATTTATGACAGCAGAAACGAGGAATTATTTTTTTAGATAAAACTGTTTCCATTTTCATTTAGTGTTATCAAATTTTTTGAAATGCCTTGTCATTTTATATTTACTGCAGAGTTATGGTTCAGTTTTGCCAACTACAGGCTGCATTGCACATAATTCCCTGCAAATGTTCTGCTAGAAACTCTGCTTGAGGAGCTGCAAAATTGAGTATTGGCTGTGTCTGGCTCTCCCGCTTAATTCTTAATTTTGGAATGTGAATTTGTTGACTTCGGACTGGGCTAAAACTGTAGGTATTTGCTTTTGGTTCTGGTAGAAACACGTTATGATTTTACATAAAAAGACTAATTTCAGATTCCGAATTGTGGCAAATCCGACGTCGAAATTCCTGCCCAAATCAGAACTTGAGTGCAGCTTCTCTAGAACTGTATCTCATTAAGGGTAATGCTGTTTATTCCTTTTCAAGCTCAAACGGTCAATATCTGAACTTGGTTGTACCTTTCGTGTCTGCTCCATGCGTGTTATTTTAATCTTCAAAGGTATAAAGGAATTATAAGTATTTGCTTCATTTGCGAGCCATCATTAACTACGTTCTAAAATCACGCAACTAGATAGAGACTTAGTTACACAAACACGGACCGTTAACCGGCAGTTGATGATACAAACTTTGCTATTGATGGCACACTTTATATCCGACACAATTAAATCATATGTTAGTGCCTTGCTGAAGTCTGACTGTAGAAGCAGATGGATTTGATATCGTGATATCTGTGAAGTTGTGTGACCCAACTCGATTTCTCGTGAACTAGCGACGGCAAGAGCTCGATAATATCCGCCTGACTTGATCTTGACTTCAAGGAAAATCTTACGAAGTAGTTCACATTGTCAAATTAGAAAGTACAACTTTCCCAGCCTTGAATATGATATATACCACACAGTGACTAATACAGCACGGGGAAATAAAGGTGTCTAACGTTGAAGATGAAAAGTTAGACGATCAAGCGTCAATCACGGATTTCCGCATTGCAACTTTTTCAAAATTACCTCGCTAGCGTTAAGAGTCCTTGCGCATGACATTCAACTTCCAATCTCGTACCAGTGAGGTGGAAAGAATAGAGACTCTGGGAATGTCACCAAAAAGAGATTGGAGGCATTTTGTTGGGAAATATCAACACACGTGAAAAAATAAGATATTTTTTTGATGTGTGTTGATATAGCCAATCAGCTGCTTACACGTCACTCGCCTTTGGCGCCACTCGGTCAGGTTGATGAATAAACGGCAAACTCTTCATGATTCTCAGTGCAAGTTGTTTGTCGGAGCTTCCTCGAATTACGGTGGCTAAAACACTAAAAAATCCATATTGATGACGGATAGTGAGGTTCAAACTTTCCTAGAAGGGGAAGAAAACTTATATACTAAAGGAAAAACCGAAAGTTGCGTATTCAGTGGCTTTGGTGTTAGCATTTCTCTGAGAATGAAATCGACAACTGGAAGATTTGTCACTGGCCGATTTTGGCCGTTCACCTGAAAGACTTCTGCCGGTAAGGACAAACTCAATAAATGAGAATTTTGTAAATTGAAAACTACGACCATTGCTGTTTTTGTAATCACGATTCAACGCATTTTTCCATCTTAAGAGTTAGCGCCAACGCACTCTACAATTGTTATTCGGGGATTGTCGATTCATTTATTTTCATTCAATAATGAAGTCGGCTTTTCTTCTCAGTAAAGGGCTATTGTGTTTATATGATGAAGAAAATAATACATGGTTGCTTGTAGATATGGAATTTCTCTTCTCGTGTTCAACTCGACATCTCACTCGTTCGCTGCGCTCACTCTGAGGTATCGAGTTAAATACTCCAAGAGAAATTCCATATCTACGCGCGTCAATGTATTATTCACTATTTAAGGTATTGTGTCCTTTTTCAGTATAAGAATAATGACTGTTACGATAGTATATCTTACGCATTTTTACGATTTTCTTCCATTGGATGTTACGTCAGTATCTCGCACTTTTTTTATTGCGTTAATAAATCGAGTACTTTTGAGATTCTCTTTTGTTGGATGGCTACGTCAACGTCTTGCGCTTTTTCGCACTTCTCTTTCATTGGATTGTTACGTTAATATTTCAAGCACTTTTAGGATTCTCTTTTACTAGATTGTTACGTTGATATGTCGTGGGCTTTCAGGATTCTCTCTCATCCGATTGTTACGTTAGTATCTTGTGCATTTTTAGAATTCCCTTTCGTTTGATTGTTACGTATTTATCTCGCACACTTTTCATATTCTCTTTCTTAGAAATTGTTTCGTTAGTCCGTTAGAATCTCATGCGTTTTTTTAGGATTCTGTTTCAATGGATTGTTTCGTTAGTATCTGGCGCTCTTTTAGGACTCTCTTTCACTCGATTGAAACATTAGTCCTTCGCCTACTTTTTTAGCATATTAAATTAATAAATCAAATTAATTAATTAAATTAATAGATCAAAGACAAAAACATCTTTTATCTCGAGAAAGTCATCAAGATGATGGCGAATGAGGCATTTCACGACAGTTTTCAAGACACTTGAGTCAGCGAGATCTCAGTTGTGATTTTTTCGAAAGGCAGGAATGGTGCGTAGAGGCGTGTACAAAGACAAATTATAAATGAAGCCAGCTATTTTTCAACGTTAAACTATTGAGTAAAATATAAAAATGTTTATTCAAACTGTCTTTAGAGGCAGAAATCAGTGAAAATGAAGTAGGCTGAGCATGTTTTTGTAGGACTGATTTACCATTCTTAAGTTTCTAAATATTTTGTTAGCAGGCGGCTTAAGTAGAGATGTTCTTTAAGTTGTTTGACGGTTGGAATTGATTTGAGTTTTTGACTGTTGACGGTAAACATATATGCTTTTGACGGCTGACGTTGATATTTTAAGTCCTTTGATGGCTGACTGTTAAAATCCACTGGGACCCTCCTATGCAGCCAAATGGATTACAGGTTTTCATCAATCAAATTTTCCCCTTCAGAAAATCGTTTTTTAACCTTTGTGAGTTTTTCTCCGTATCTTCCGATATCAAGTATTGTAAATAACAATAAGAAAAATGGTGTTTGATGAACACCACGATGCTTTTGAAAGTCATTCTTCTTGTATTTTTCAATGAAAACAAAACATCTTTCGGATGAAACATCATCCATTGCCAGTTGTATATGAGAAATAAAATGAAATAATGCAATAAATAGTATAGCAAAGTGAGATGTTAACATCTGACTTTGGTTCATCAAAGCGATATCTTACTTCGTGCTGCTAAAAAAGATAGTATCCATTTTAATATAGTAGTTTCAAGGCGATGAAGGGGAGATTAATGCTTTTTATCTTCATGGGGCAACGAAGTCTTTAGATGACCTGAAGTGCAATTAAAGTTCATTCAATAAGGAGGGGGGGGACTTATCGAACACAACTTCAAGCATATACCTCCACTGATCAAAATTTGTCCCTTTGGGTAGTTCGTTGGTAAAGATAATAATAACAAGAAAGTTGTGACTACCCTGCTTCATGGTGCTTTGAGATAGTTCTTTAGTCGGAGCGGAACAGAAAAAATATACGCCCCGCATAATTTTGAAGAAAACCTTAACGCAACAGTTTCTGGGCCTTTACTGTTCGGTGACAGGTGTTATTTAAAAACTTTGGCTGTAGTTCTGGTATTTGTAACCTGACGCATTTGGGACAAAAGTATTTTAACTGATGGTGTGCGGGGTAAAACTGCTATCTTGACGCTGCATCATTCTATCCAACATCTATTTATAAAGCAAGTGGCCTTTGTAGATATTGTTAGAGTTAGAGATTGGCCTTTATTGATGCGGCGTTAACGATATTTTAGGCAAATAGGCGTTGTGAAAGGGGGGGGGGGGTAAGAGGGCACAGCCAGCATGACAATTTATGTCCTCCTTCCGCTTAACGTTCGTATGAAGAGAATTCAAGCAATATGGCTACCACAACCGTCATGTTCACAAAACGTCTGTGCTTCTACATTTCTATCCATAAAATCTGGAGAAGTATTAATTTGTACGGAAAAAAATAACATGCAAAGTGAAACAAGTTTGCAGAGCCTCTTTGAGTGAGAATTTTCTTCGGGAGACATGTTTAATACACCAGCAAGTCTTTTCAGTCACGACAAATTCAGAATCGCAATTACTATGAGGGTGCAAGTTCGATTTGATTGCGAACAACTTCGGGAAACCAAATACTAAAGGGACATAGCTTGAGCGGAGGTGGAATCCACAGGGAGAGACGAGAAAAGGGCGTTCAAGGAACAGGTGCATAAGGCCAGCGAAGAAGGCTGCGCCTAGAGGCAGCAATGAGAGTAGCCCAAATCAGATCACTTATGGACCTTTGATTCACTAGCAGTGGTAGCTAATGAGCAGAGAAAAACAACATGATGAAAATCCGTACCAATAATGACTTAATTAACTTCGTTAAAAAATGATCAGCTGTCGATCCTAAATCGCTTTTGTAAACTAGAGATGACCACAGTCTATACAATTTGGTGATTATTTTTTTGGTGAGCTATTTTCACTTTTTTGCCCAAACGTATGCCAACAAAACAACAGTGATACCAACGCCAGCTGGTACGGCAGTGGAATTTGGGCGTCTCGTGTCTTGGCTTGGCTTTTTTAATTGGTTAAACAACCTTTCTGAGAAATGTTGACAATTATCGCTAAACAAAATTTTTAAGTTCATTTTCACAAATAAACTTAATCAAATCTCTCATAGATCCTTCTCCCTCGATTTCAACAATCATCTTTACTGGTGTATACCTAGCTTGACCCTCTTTACACTTCTCTACACAATCCTCTGCTTTAGACCATTGCAGGAGAATTTTTTCTGAATCCTTTCAGATCGAACAATACCAATTAGTTGTTTTAATCACTACAAACTGATGATAGGTGGACAGGTTTTCCTCTCCGTTTTTGGAAAGAGGGCATCGATGACTACCAATATTTTGTATTTCCTCGCTGTTCGTAGTCCCATGCGGGTCTTCCACAGATTGTTGCAGCGAGTAACGTTTAGTGTTGAATTCGCCATTTTCTTTGTAAAAATATGTGCATACCTGACTGGTCCATTTTCCACCCTACTGATGCTTCTGCTCATTATCATGTGACAAATGTTCTAATAGGTAAAGATATACCATAAAAAAACCATATCAAAAAAAGCCAACATCATTCTCCTGCCCGTATGGACAAGGCCGTCATTGTATTAACTCATGCAGATATCAGCGTAAAGTCGCCTGATAAATTCAAAGCAATCACTCGTACGTTGTGATTTTTTTCCATGAGCAGCAGTGGGATTTTTTCTTAGCAAGCAAATGTTCCGAAATATGGGCCTTAAAAAAGGAGAGAAAAACGAAACAAACAAAGACAAACAAAATACACAAAATGATAAAACAGAGAGAGAAAAAACCTTCATTGCGATGTGGCACAATGAATGATTGTTTTCCTCGCCTTCGCTGTATCAGCTTTTAGCTAGTTTAAATATGCAGCTCGTAAAGGCTCTATTTGTATTAGAAATCCAACCATGCTAACTCTCAAAGAACATCATAACTGATCAGCTGTCGATGACAGGGACACACATTTCTATCAGTTCTTACCTTACCTTTCAATAGTTAGATGACCTCCCGTTCCTTCATTCCTGTATGTCGCGCTGGAATTAAGTTTCGTCACCCTTTAAAAATTCCTGGGCTAATTAAACAAATATGACTGTCAACATAAACGAATAAAGTGGGCGAGTTTCTAAAGAAACTCTTATGCTGCGTCAATGGGGAGTATTACATGATAAGTTGGCTTCATTAATTAAAATGACATGAATTGGCCACCGTAGAGATGTTCTAAATCTGACCTTGCGAGCGTTAGTTATTCATAAGAGTGGATTGCCTCTGAAACGCCAGCTGTAAAATCCCTTTACGGTTGCAAATTCCCCTTATCATTTCTGTAGGTTGATAAATAGAGAATAATACATGGGCACGAGAAGATATGGAATTTCTCCTTGAGTGTTCAACTCGATAGCTCACGAGTCAGATATCGATTTGAACACAAGAAGAGAGCTGATTACATATCTGCAAGAAACCATGTATTCGATTGTCTTTTATATAAACACAGTAGGCCTTTACTGGCAAGAAAAGTCGACTTTATTAATAAATTAAAAACATAGGATCCACAATCCACGAAAAAAAAGTCGCAAAGCACGTCGGCAATTTTCGGCGACAAGGCTCAAGATGAAAAAACGCTTTGAATCAGTACAAAAACAAACAATGGCCATAACTTTCAATTTGCTAGTTACACGGCCAAAATCGGCCAATGGCAAATTTTCCACCTGTCGATTTTCCAAAGCCACTAAATACCAAACTTTCGGTTGCTTTTTTCTTCCGCTTCTGGGAAATTTTGAACGTCATTATTTGTGAGCGATACAAATTTTTCAGGGTTTTAGCAGCCATAATCCGAGAAATTTCAACAAAGGACCTTGGATTGAGAACGGAGAACGATTTACTATTCTTTCATCAACCTGTCAGAGTGGCGCAAAAGTCGAATGACGTGTCAGCAGCAGCGAATACTGTTGAATAATCCCGGCGAATAACTGTTAAATACCAAATTATGTTGTGACATCGGAAACTAAAGACCACGTTGCATGACCTGTTTCAGTGCTCTGACCCGGAAAGAGCGTGCGAAAGACAAGAAGACGCTAATTATGACCTTCTATTGAGCGAATTCGCCTGTTCCACCTGGCATTTCTAGCTTCAAAATTCATTGAGAGCGGTGAATCATCATTTTCTCATTTAAGGCAAACACTAAAATGTAAATTGTAAAATTTCTCATTCTCCGGCCTCCACAAACTGTAAGCGAACTGGAAAGGTGGAAATAAATTATTTTATTATAGTCAGTCTTCGTCATAAAACGGTCTAAAACCTTTGGATTGTGGGTCCACACTTCATGGTCAAGAACAAAAGAGCACAACTTCATTTCTTCCTTTTTTCCTTCGTTTGTATACAGATTTAGATGTGTCTTTTTGGGGGTTGGAACATTTTCATGGAATGAAGTTGAGCCCAAAGTTTCTCTGCTGATTTCCTTAAGAATTGTACATTGAACGATCGTTAAGACTTTCAACGCTTCTGTTGAGTCAGGCTTTATAAAACACGTGGCTGTTGTAATGATATTTCACATCCAATACGATACACAATTCTGAAACATTATCTGCTCTTAAAGCTTTACTAATTTTGCTTCTACGTACGTTATGCTACCTGATGGAGACATTACAACAGGGACACAACTAGATTATTTTCCTTCTTTCACTTTCAATACATTGACACCATCTTAGCCTTTCATTCGTTTTGCTTTGCCATAAGCACAGGTCTGAGGAAACGTATGTTGCTCCTTTCATAAAAAAACCTTGATGTTGACTCACCAGAATTCGAAAAGCAACCTCTTGGAATAAAGATTTGACTTCTATCTTCTTCTCCGGTTCTCATGAAAATTCTCAATTCAATTCTCGTAGACAAAGAGGGCGAACCAGTTGTGATGCAAATTACTATAAGTATGGTAGCAACTTGAGAACGAGGTTGAAAAAGAGTGATTAAACTTTCCACGTGTTTTTGATAATTAGGGGCAAAGTACATGTACAAAGTTTATATACGAACCTTCAGCGGCGTTAATCAGCTTTGTGTGACGCCAATCATATATTGATTCTGTTGCGAATAAGTAAGTTTATTTCATAGGTACTGAGATTTACCCACAAAAATCGTAGTGAATAAAATTCGTACTGATTCTAAATGTAGCCAATCAGGAGTATGAACGACAAAATTTCATCGTGAAAAATTATCGCTCGTCCAAGCAGCAACGTGAACGACAAAATTACACTAATGATGAATGAACGTACTGAAGAGAACGTCATGCGAGAGCCGTTGCACAAAACCCGCGCGTTTTGAAAAATGGCCGAGGGAAGGTTCGCTTCTGTTTACTCAGTTGAAGAATTCATTTTAGAACACGATAACAAAAATACCGCTCAAAAAACTGAAAGAGATGTAAGATTGCTTGAAATATTTTTGAAAACGAAGGACGAAGACAGGAAAATTGAAGATATTCCAGCGGCTGAGTTGAATGAATTCATTAGCGAATTTATTATCTCCGTACGCACTAAAGATGGCAACGAGTACGAGCCGACTTCGCTTCGAAGTTTAATGGCCAGCTTCGAACGACATTTGAAGAAAAAGGGCTATTCTGCCAGCATAGTCAACGACTTGGTCTTTGAGAAAACCAGAAAAGTTCTTCAATCCAAGCAAAAGCAGCTAAAGAAGCAAGGAAAAGGGAATAAACCAAAAGCATCGGTAGCTTTGACAACCGAAGAGTTAAAGATATTGTACGAGAAGGGTTTGCTCGGTGTGTGTAGTCCTGAGGCGCTATTAAACACGCTCTGGCTAAACTACACTCTTCACTTTGGACTCCGTGGGTGCAAAGAACATCGTGATATGTAAAGCTTCACAAAACGGCAAACGGAGTGGAATACTTGGAGTTCAATGAACGTCAAACGAAAACAAGAACTGGCTCAGACTACAGCAATGTCAGAGCTGTACCGCCGAAAATGTTTGTGACCTACGAAACTGAAAGAGATCCTGTCGCAGTCTACAAATTTTTTGCCAGGAAGAGACCCGAGGAAATGAATCAAGACAATGCTCCCTTTTATCTGGCCGTAAACAACAGTTTAAAGGCGGACTCGCTCAAAAGAAAAAGCTGGTTCAAGTCCGGTGCGGTTGGCGTAAACAAACTCAACGGTTTAATGAAGACAATGGCTTCGAAATCACAGCGGCAGAAAGACTATGATCCAGACGCTAAGTGAAAATGACATTCCCCCTACGCAAATTGCACAGCTATCTGGCCATAGGAATTTGAAGAGCATAGAAAACTACAGCATTGTTTCAACGAAACAACAGATGCACATGTCAAAAGTGCTAAGCAGTGTGGTGGCTGGTACCCCAGCTTCGTCCTCTTCTGAAACAGCTTGTCCGTCGTCCTCCGACTCCCAGAATACCGGTAAGCAGTCCATGGCACTATTCAGCGGAGCAATACAAGGTGGTAATTTTTCCATTCGTATCAACACAGTAAATCAGTCTCCGACGCTTACCACAGATCCGTCAAGTCCCGAAGCGGCGAGATGGAAACGTCTGAGGCCTTTAGAACTGGAAAGTGACTCTGATGATAACTGAATATTGACTTTCTTTACATGACACTAAGTAGTATGTTGGCATGGCTTCCTTTATTATAATATTAATAGACAATGAACTTGATTGATATCTGATGAACACAGGTAAGCTTAAGTGTTATGAACTTTATGCACTTTTATTAACTTGTTGTTGAGAAATTTTTGAACTACTTTTTACGCTTTTCATCGCCCCATTTGTGCTATTTGTCTACCAAAGACAACACAAAAAAATCTCAGCACCTATGAAACGATTTTCATTCACTCGTTGATGCTACACAACTCGTAAATAAAAATCGTACGCGCGCATTTTCCATGAAGAAATCTCTATTTTTCTTTATCAGGAATTTGACTGCAGGGGTTGCCCCACGGCCAATCAACTCCCAGGAAAAAATATTTTTTAAAATTAATTTTTGCGTGGGTGCGTTCAAATCTCTCAGGCTAATCGCAATGTTTTTACTGTCAACCGTCAAATAAGCAAGTCAAAGAAAGATATCCTTACCGTACCGCTCGCGTATATGATAAATACGCAAACGAATTTCATACGCTTGGACGCAAGGTAGTCAGACCCGCATATACGATTTTTTTGCTTGCACGGTCGAACAAAATGCGCGGCTCATGTTCCTATGTTATTCATTGCCATAACTTTCTTTTGTATTACACTATTGTGTAAAACAAAAAACTTTACTGGTTTGAAAAAGCGGCGAGTCGACATTGGAAAATTTACATAATGAAAAAGCTATCAGGTCACACTCACACATACCGCGTCGCTTTGCGAATTTATCGAATAACGAGCATTAGTAGTAGTAGATTTGCTTGATATGAATTGTTGATGAATCAGGAAGGAAGGAAAATGTCACTTATATACGGTATGGAAACACGTTTATCATCAGGTGAATACTCACGAACGAAGCGAATACTCACTAACATGCTTCCCAATTTACTCATTGCAATCAGCGCTCCCTTGAATGTTTACCCACCAGAATGTTAACAATTTGGTGTTCGCATCGCAAGTGATTATTTCTTCGAAACTCCAAACTTACCTTGATCACCTTCGATGAGGAACAGTAGGAAAATGTACTATTGAAGATTGTGATTGATGTCTTATTTTATTCATTGCAATTGGCGCTCGCTTTGGTGTTTACGCACCGAAATGTAAACAGTTTATCTCGCATCGCACGTGTCTTCAAAAAAAACTTGAAATTCATGTATCCAGCATTCAATTTTCCCTTCCTTTTTCAAGCAATTTGGTGAACATCGATCGACGATTTGACAAATAATGAAACAAGATGCAAATCGGCAAATCTGCTCTCGCATTTAAATTTGAATGCGAGTCAGAACAAGACTTAGTCGTGACATGTAACCAAACTGTAATACAACACAATTAAAATAAGCGAGTAGAACTTCATAGTTTGTGTTTAAAAGGCGAGATGAACGAACCAGTTTTCGAGAACAGCATGATAAAAGCTATGAGATAAGCATTTGCGTGTGAGTTTGTATTCAGAACGTGACAACTGGTTACAAGGAAGGGCCTTAGCTGATTCTGCCGAAATACGAGACACTGATCATATATTTATTTTCAAAACCTTCCCAGGCCGTTGCGACGGATGTTCTTTTACACCTGTTGAGAAATAGCTATTTTGATACAAGAATTCTGTTGGAAAATGAGATATTATTTATATATTCCGATTACGAAGTCGCATTAGTATGCAACAGTATGTCGGGAAGGTCGGTTCGAACGGTGATTGAAACTGCATTAGGAGCAAATGTGGCCAATATCCTTTCATAGTCCGATATTATTGCTTTTTATATTGTAGATTTCATACTCTTGATAAGTTTTGAACTTTCTTACTTTTCTTTGGTCGTAAGTTATTCTAAAATGAATCACAGTCAAACTTATCAAATGAAATAGGCCATTTTCGATATGCTAAAATTCAAACCTGGCTCCGAAGCTTAGGGAATAAAACAAAGGAAATCACATCGAAGTTGAAGGATGAATAATTAAATTATTTTGTTTTATTCCCCCTAACCTTAGAGCCATGTTAGAATTTGATGTAACGAAAATGGCCTATTGAGGGGGTCGTCATTTGGCGTAACCGCTGACACCTCGCAAAGTATCTGTAGGCATGGAATCAACCTGAGGCGCGTTAACTTTCAGACCCCAAGGTGAAAAAGGGTCATGTGACTGTAAGGCCGCCACAATAGAAAGTCAAATGAGAATCTATCTCAAGGCTGGCCATGACATCGAGACAGCATCGCAAATGATGACAGCCATGAGTCATCTGGCGGAATGGCTGGAGTCTGCATGGCAGTGAGCGGTCCGCAACGTACCTACTGCAAAGTCAACGCCAGTGAAGTGGGAAGGAGTATTAGTTTCATTAATAACATTGCATACACCAACGAAGGAGTGCTGCTGTGGAGAGCGTATGGAGTTGGTTCCGGTAAATTTTTACCTAAGTGTAGTTTCTGTCAACAAAGTAGTAGCTTTCTTCCTCAGTTGAACAAGAATACAGATAGTGCGATTTCCCAGGTTTCTTTTCAAACCGTCAAAGCTAGACGAGGCGCGAAAAAAAAAACAACAACAACAGTAACAACAGAATTGGCAAAGGCTTCAGCAAGCCTTTGCTAATTCTGTAGTTCTGCAGGAGAGAGAATGACAGAGACGACGAAACCTGTGAAAAGGAAGAGGGCTGTTATATTTTCCAAAACATCCTGACTGAGGCAAAAACAAGTGTGCCCTCGAACAAGAAACACTGTACAACAAGGCAATGACCCAGGTAAACTAGAGCACGACGGTGGTGCCGTTCCTGAAACTGTGAACGAAGATGTATACATATCTTTGAAGGAAGAAGGTCCAGCGCTACTGATGGGATGGGCTCTGAAGTCAGCGATGGTAACGAGAAAGACCTTCACCAATGCTCAGAAAAACTATCTTACTGAAGTTTTTCAAGAGGGAAAACGCACTGGGAAAAAGGCTGATCCTTCTATCACTTCAAAGGCAATGCGAGCTAATTATCTGGTACTTTTCAGCAGTCCAAGATTTTCAAAGCTGCATTTTGGCGGAATTCAGTTATTATCAATTTTCTCAAAAATAAATGGACATTCATGTTTTTTCCGCTTCTTTACTCACAATGCACACGCCAAACAACTTACATTCCATCACGTACCAAAATGTCGTTGAAATTAATAAAAAAAAATTGCATTCTTAATGTTTACTTTGCTTTCTTGAATAAAGAGATGTTTTTCTATGGACGCGAAAGCTACATGCCAAAAGTCAATAAGTTGGAGGACTTGATAAATTTACCAAAAAAACGTACTCACCAGTTGTTTTTTACCA